CCGTGATGTCTGCTGTTAGAAGTTCTAATCCAGATGCTGGCCTCCGAACTTATACTACTCAGACCTTTGAAGGGCCACTGACAAGAACATCAAACAGCTAGAGATTGACAGCACTAATCTGAAGAAATCCCTCATTTCGCCGTCTGAAGAGACCTCCTAAAATCGCAAAGATCCTTATTGGACTTGATTTACTCCATTACAATAGAAAAGGCTGTATACAGCTCTTGACTGTGTACAACCCTCAAAGAAGAAGGTTGCCTTTACATAGACAAGACAAGGAGGGTGAAAGACAGCATGAAATAGGTAGTGAAGGCCCTAAGAAAAATCAGAGAGGGAAAGAGACAGATGAATGCTGGTACAAGAAGTGGTTTGCAACCTCTCCAAGGTTGTCAACCCTATTTCCTCCCATCTTGGGACCATTATTTGGGTTCTTTTTGCTTTTTTCTGCTGGCCCCTGGCCCTCAAATAGGAGGACTAACTCTGTGATACAACAGATAAATAATTTGGTAGCAAAACCTACTCAGATACATTATCATAAATTAGCTATGGAGGACCACGAGACTCAAGATGAGGTTGTTACTTTATACAGGGTGTTTCCAAAACCCATCTCCACCAAACCTAAAAAGTTGGGACTTCTGCCCCTAGACCAAGCAGAGAGGGGCCACCCAGAACCCCCTCTGACAGGCGACCTGAATTCTTGCTTAGGCTGCGAGGCTAAGCACTGTAAGGGAATATAAATAAAAGATAAAAATATCTACCTGGGTTCCCTGAGGGACAAGCCTGACTGCATAGGGGTTGATGTCAAAAGTATCCCCTCTCCAGGAAAAAGACATCAGGATGGGTATGGCCTTCATGCCTCACTGGACAACGACAGGGGGAATGGAGCCATTACAAGGTCCCCTTCAAATTTTGGAGGTCAGGCCTCTATCCCTGCCTTTGCAAGTTTAGAATTGCCACAGCCCTTCTATATTTAGAGAAGGGAGGAGATGTCAGGGGCAGCCCTGCTTACACACTGTAGACCTTAAATCAGTCATAGGCCTAAAATCAGCAATAGGCCTGTCATGCATGTATACTAATACCAAGTCTTGGGTCTCAGTGGAAAAACATTGAAACAGATGGCTATAAGCTAATGTCAACAGGCAGCTTTTGTGGAAATTTATAAGCCTGAGTAGTCATAGACCTTGTAAATAGGTAGCCTTGGCAGACAATACCAAATTAGATAAGGACAAGTGAATCATAGGCAGAGTCATAGTGAATTGTCCCTTGAACCTTCACCTAGCCGATACCCGGTTCTAAAGATATCTGTATTCCCCCTGAACACCCACACTCCAGTGTCATTCCCTTCCCCACATCCTGCCTTTATGTGTTTATAACCCCTGTGTGAATTAATTATGATTTGAGAAAAAAAATGAGATCTGAAAGACAGTGCGAAATGAACGCTGTAATTGAACTTGTAAAATTTTGATTGAATTTTTGAAATGATAACTTGGATATATTGGATTAAATAAAATAGATCATTAACTGTAAAAAAAAAAAAGACTTTAGAGAACAAAGCATGAAGGCAATATTGAAAGGCAGTAGAAGTCAGAGATGTACAGATATAGTCTTGATTGGTTTCTCCTGTAAGTCCTCTCATTTGAGGTTGTGAGATTATGTATTTTCCATACCTGGGCTTATGGCTTAAAGTTTGGCCAGAGGTAAATGTTACTATTTACATCAAAATTAAAAACAAATCTTCTAAATACATATGAGATTTTTATTTATATGAAAACATCAAACTTGAATTCTACAGTTAAGAAAATCTATATCATATTTTGTGTCTGTAATGTGCTCTGTTGGGTATTAAAACCCTTCTGTTTCAGTGTTTGTTGCCAGGCTTTTAACTGGATTGCCCCTCCCAAACCCTATACCCATCATTCCGCTATCATTTTCTTATTTGGGGATCGTACTACTCAGTGTGATCATGCTGTTTTCATAATCTGTAACTAGATTGTATCTCCTAATTCAATGTACTTCACATTTTCCACTTTGCCACATATGACAATTACTATACCTGGACTAATTTTTTCTCTATCCACTTAAAGGACACTTAGATTCATGAAATATTCTGTCTGTTATGAATTATGCCAACACAAACACCACTGTTCAAGCATCTTATAAGGATACTGGTGTGATACCTGTATGTCACATAATTAATGGTACAACTAATAAAACATGATATTCTTATTTTCATAATTTGAGGAACTCACACATTTTTATATAATGGCTACTCTAATTTATATTACACAAATTTTCAAAAAGTCATTTATCCCCTAGTCACATCCATTACCTTTCATCTTCATTTATTTTTAAATTTACATTATTATTGACTGAATGATATTTGTGTCATGCATGTAGCAATCAGAGTAATTTTATGGACTTGAATCTCTCCATCCACATTTCTATATGTTCTAGGAACTCAGGTCACAAAGCTTGCACAGCAAATATGTTTATCTGCTAAGTCTTCTTGCCAATAACTCTGGTTTGTTCTTAAATTATAATATGTGTATGCCTGGATGTTTGTGTGCAGTTATGTACACCTGAGTGTTACTGCAAATAGAGGCCAGAAGCAGCAACATCAGCCTGCACCTAATTGTAGGCAATGGTGATCAACCTTGCATGGGTGTTGGGATTTGAATTCAGGTGTCTAGAAGAGCAGTATATGTTTTTAACTGATAGATTGTCCCTCCACAACAAAGCCCTCCCTTGCTCTGCCTTTCATCTTTTTCATGGTAGTCATTAGAAGAGGAAAAACGTGACACCACAATGTATTGTCATATGTTTTTCTTTAATGACTAAACTGTTGAACTTTTTCATGCATCTATATATAAGCCATACTAATGTCCTAGAGATATATGCTCATGAGTTTCACACAATCCTAAAAGATTATTGTTTTCTTAATATTGAGCAGTTAAGTATTTCATTTATTTAGGGTGGACTTTCTCAGTTTTGTAGCTTATTTTTTTTTTTTTTAAGATTTACTTATTAAGTATATAGCGTTCCACCTGCATGTATCCTGCAGGCCAGAAGAGGGCGCCAGATCTCATGGTTGTGAGCCACCACGTGGTTTGTAGGAATTGAACTCAGGACCTCAGGAAGAGCAGACAGGGCTTTCAACTTCTGAGCTATCTCTCCAGCCCATAGCTTTAAAGTTAAAATTGTTGGACAACATTACATAATGTTTCTCTAGTCTAAGTGAGAATCATATTGACAACACATGTATCCTTGAATCAAGCTACAGAAGTGAGCAGAGCAGCACTGCCCTCCAAGCTATCATGCATGATCAATTTATATCTTCAGTGATATTACAAGAATTCTTCATCTTTTAAGAGCAAAGAGTGACCTCACTCTTTTCAAAGCAAATAATAAAAAAATAATAAAAAGAAAGAAAAAAAAACAGTAGAAAGAAAAGAAAAAAGTCAATTCAATACCAAAGCCTTTCACCCTCTTACCATATTGCTTACTCAATTTGCCCAATCAAAAACTGTAACTTAAATCCTGACGCCTCAGTTTCCTTCCTTATTCGTAATTGCCTACTGCATTCACGTCTATATTTCTAGCTTAATTATTAAGAAAATTAATTATGACTCTTGGACTATCATTTATGCACAATTAAAACTAATCCATTTGACAAGTAACTATTTTATTCACGTATTCCATAAAAAGGACTTGAGGACCTCTAGGGATCTTGACTGGGTTTATAAAATGTTCTATAGAAACAGTATGAATATATTCAATATGTTTCATTTGCTCTGTTTTAAACTATCATAAACTGTTTACTGATTTTTATATAACAATATATTTCAGATAAAAATTAGACACTTAGTACTCAAATTTTAATGTGTTTATATTAATATATAGATTCAAGAAGCTCCAAACTAGAGCCAGAGGTGCCTCAGGATATGGAGAAATGTAGTCTCCTGATAATCATAAATTGAAACATTATTTTTGGGGAGTGTGTGTGTGTGTCTGTATGTCTATGCATGTGTGTGTACATATATGTGTGTGTGCATATGAGAGGTGTACAATGTGTGCATATGGAAGTGCAGACAAGTACTCTAACAGAGGCCGAAGAAGCATATCAGTTTTCTTCTGTATATATCTTCACAGTGTGTGTGAGTAATAATATTATTCACTTAACTGAAACTAAACTGGCCACAGAGAAGATCCATCAATGCTCCTATGTTGATTACCGTAGTACTGAGGCTATTGCCCATTACAACTTTTGTTTTATTATTTTATACATTAGTTTATAAGATTCTGTAGTGTAAACTTTGTTGAAAAACATGTCTCTTGAAATGTCAGAATGTTGGATGCAACTGACAGAAGTTAAATGCAGTAACTCTATGATTAAGAAACTTGTGCACTGAAAAAAGACATTTGGGAACACTAAAGCAGATTTATCATAGTTAACATTATGGCTGAATGATATACAGATTAATCATAGATAGAAATATTTCTTTCATATTTATATTGTGACATATTCAGGAGTTTCCATAACTCTGAGACATAATATATTAGTATTAACTATCTCATTAACTCATTTAGCAATTCATTCATCACACATTCATATTAAAGTACTGCTGTTAAATTTGAATAATTCTGAATGAAAGAATAACAGCAAATACTGGGGTATTTATTAGTTAAATTGTTAAGATATTGGTCTGTGATTTTATGTCACAAGTTTCAAAAATTAGATAAATTTCCTATAAAAATTGTGATCAAATTGTATTTTATTGATATCAAAACATATTGTTTTTTCATTATATTTCATTGAATGTAGACAGATTAGTATGTATAGATTGTTTCAAAAGAGAATATATTGCAGGTTATTATTCAAAGTACCAGAGGCATTTCAGAAGCATAAACTGATTATGCTTAAGTGAAATGAATAAAAGCTGATGCATTTCTTCAGTAACTTTGTAAAAAGCCATTACTCGTTCGTTCTAGAGCTCCAAGCACTAATTTATAAGTAACAGTTTTCTCAGTGCAGCGATCACCTCCTTGTTTCTAAGGCTGTATATCAGTGGATTTAACATGGGAGTCACAATGGTGTAAAACAGAGAGAACATTCTGTCAGTTCCTGAAGAATGGGTGGACTTTGGCCTCAAGTAGGTAACAGTGGCTGATCCAAAAAACAAAAACACCACAAGCAAATGGGAAGAACATGTTGAGAAGGCCTTTGCTCGTCCTATGGCTGTTGGCAACTTCAGAATAGTGGCAATGATTTTGCTGTAAGAAGCAAGTATCAACATAAAAGGGACTGCAGCAAACAAGATAGCCACTAAGTAGACAGACAGCTCATTAATAGATGTGTCTCCACAGGCCAGCTTGATAATGGGAGGTATGTCACAGAAGAAGTGGTTGATTTCGTTAGAATTGCAAAAATGTAGAGAGAATATCTGACAGGTTTGTCCAATCTGGACTGGGATGCCTCCAAGCCAAGAGCCCACTGCCAGCTGAGTGCACTTTGTTGGGTTCATGACCAGAGGATAGTGCAGAGGGTTACAGATGGCCACATAGCGGTCATAGGACATCACAGCCAGCAGGAAGCACTCAGTAGCTCCCAGCAGAAGGAAGAAACACATTTGTGTGGCACAGCTGAGGACAGAGATGATTCTTTCTTGAGCAGCAATGTTGAACAAAATCCTAGGTAGAGTGACTGATACATAACAGATTTCCAGAGAAGAAAAATTTGCCAGGAAAAAATACATGGGCTTTTGTAATGAAGGATCAGTTCTAATTATCACAATTATGAAACTATTTCCAATCAAGATGATTAAGTAAATTATGGAGAACATCCCAAACAGAATCCCTTGTAAGTTGGGAAGGTCTGAAAATCCCAGGAGGAGAAAGTGTGTCACTGTGGAAGCATTGTCCTCTGCCCTGATTTCTGTGAATTTCATCTGTAGGGAAGATCCGAAGAAAAGTGACAAGAATTTTCTTTTCCTTGGATTCATTTTATTGTGTATAAAGTAATGTTAACATTCTTTCAGCATTTCCATTACCCTTCAGGAAAAATTATATGCCTTGTATATGCACCAAATCTTTTTTAAAAGTAAAGATTTGTTCCTAAAAAGCATAAAAAATTGTCCTATATATTTTCTAATACACTAAATGTTGTGTATTTTGTGGGGTTTGAGAGTAGACCCTGGAAAATTAATTTTCTTCTTTTAAGCTACATAAGTACTGTCTGCTTATCAATATTTTTATAATTAATCTGTTTTTCAGATTACATGTTTCTACTTATGTATATCTAAGATGTTTGCCTCTATTGTTGTTTCTGTTTGTTGAAAATTTTTAGAAAATACAATTAATTCTCAAACTAAGGAAGCCACTAGAATTTTTTTAATACAGGCATTTATTTTTATTCTAGTACTTTATGCTTATTTATCTGTCTTCTTTAAATGAATGATTGGCTTTCTTACAGTTACTCTGATTTTAAGTAATGCATTTAACATTGAAGTGTACACAGGGCTTATACTTCTCTGATCAAATTTGCAAAAAGAAGAGACAAAGGCTGAAAGTCTTATATGATCACATGAATTCAGAAAAGTTTGTATTTTGACAAAATATCTAAAACACAGATAAACATGCTAATAATTGTATAATATTTCCACATTAACTTACCAGATTTAATTCTTAAACACTAGTTATACCTTTGAATACAGTAGATTGCAGATATGTTTCAATGATGTGCATTCTTGACTATCTTAAAATGTATATTTTAATGGCTATGATCTCCAACTTATTCCTAAAGCACATAAATATGTAAAGAACTGAAATGGTTAATAAAAGAAAAATGATACCTTTAAATGAATAAAATAAGCTTGTTGATACAAGTTAACACATAAGATAGTGCCCATATGGATATTTTCTTTATATATTGGCTTTTTATAGAAAATATACTTTTCATCTTGTTCTTCTTTGATCTATATCATAAAAAGTAACATTGAAAAAATAAAACAATATTTGAAATGAAAAACGCTAGATACAAGATTCTTTTCAATTGTTCAATTCCCTTTCAATGGATATTTAAAAAGAAAAGACAAGTTCTAGGTATATATGATATAAGTCAAAATTAGTTTGAGCTTATGTTAAGTTAAATCTTAGTCTTACCTCCCTCTATTAATTTGTAAAAGACAGTGTTTAGTAAGTTTGGGTTTTTAAGGCTTATATAATCCTTTTAGCTTTAACAGGCAGAACATTTTCAAGCATTTAATGTACTGTCAAACTCAAGTGCTGTTTAAATAGGAAATGATCACTACCCTGGGGATATATTCCTTTCCAATGCTACACTCTAATTTAGGAAAATTTTTGTTCTTCCACTCAAGAAATTAAGCAAAAGAATATATAAATTAAATGAAAAAAATAAAATGAAACTGAAGTAATCAACTCCTTTAGCCCATTATGATTTTTGTTTTCAATTTGTTATTGTAAAGAAAACTATACATTGAAAGAAATATCAGAAATTCGCAAAAATATGACTGTGGGAGGGATGCATGTATTTGTGTGGGTGGGTTTATGTTCATGTATGATTGTGTTGAACACTTTCCCCTGTTTAGCCAAATATCTGGTCCACTCTATTTGTAAAATAAAGCAAGATTAAGAAGATAACTGATGCTAGCGTAGATAAAACATACATTGATGATCTTATCCTCTTTCAAACTTCAATTGTCAATGCATGTAAATGCACATGTGATATTGGTTGTTTTTATTAAAATACACATGGTTTCATTTAAAATTCTGTGTCAACCATCAATTTAATGTATTTTATACCTAAACAGAAACGTTATCAATATGCATTGTAAAACTACTTGCCAATTCCCTTAGTATTTATTTCCGTAACTGTTTGCACATACATATCTTTTTTAAAAGTTTAATTAATTAATCATCAATCAATTCATTTACTCACAGTTTCTTCCTCCTTCTTTTCCCCTAATCTTTTCACCCCATCATTCTTATCTACTCCTCCTCCCTTTCTCTTCAGAAAAGGGATGACATTCCATGGATATCACCCAGCCTTGGTATACTATAATGGATATTCCTGGTTGTCAATGTGACTATATCTGCAATAAACTACAATCCAGAATTGGAAGGTTCACTTATGATCCAGATAAAATCTTGAGGCATAGTGACTATAAATCAAAGAAGACTAAGGCAAGAAGATCACTGAGTGCAAGGTCACCCTGGGACAAAACAAGTCCCAAGACCCAGGTATGATGGTACACATCTTTAATCTAGGCCATATCTTCTGCTGGAGACCTATATAAGGACTTTGGAAAAGGGAAGATTTACTCTTCTTTGTCTGCATGCATTTACCTGCCACCACATTTGTTGGCATCTACTAGCCTTGTAGAACTGAGCAACTATTAGGTCCTTGGACTTCCCCTTCACAGCTGACCATTGTTGGAGAGTTAGACTACAGACTGTAAGTCATCATAACAAATTCCCTTACAATATAGAGACTATCCATAAGTTCTGTGAGTCTAGAGAACCCTGAATAATACACATACCAAATTGCATTAAGATTAGACAAACCAGGCTAGAAAAATGGCTCAGTGGTTAAAGAGCATTGACTGTTCTTCCAGAGGTCCTGAATTCAGTTCCCACCAACCACATAGTGGCTCATAACCATCTGTAATGGGATCCGATGCCTTCTTCTCGTGTGTCTAAAGACAGTGACAGTGTACTCATACACATTGAATAAATAAATAAATAAATAAATAAATAAATAAATAAATAAATAATAAAGACTAGACAAATCTTTTCCTATTGAGGCTACATGCAGGAGTCCAGTAGGGGTAAAAGCTCCTATGTCAGGCAACAGGATCAGAGTCAGCTACTGCTGTTAGAAGTCCTCACATGAAGACCAAGCTATAAAACTGTTACACATATATAGAAACAGTAGGACAGTCCTATGCGTGCTCACTGTTTGACAGTTCAGTCACTGTAAGCCCGTATAGGATGAACTTACTTGACCCTATATGTATTCTTGTTGGGTCCATGACCCCTGTCTAGCTCCTATAATCCTTTCTTCCCCTCTTCTGCAGGATTTGCCAAGTTGTGGCTAATGTTTGCCTGTGGATCTCTGCATCTGTTGTCATCAGTTGATCATTAGAGTTTTTCTGATGGAGGTTATACTAGACTCCTGTCTGCAAATAGATCAGAATATTATAAACAGTGTCTGGGTTGGGCTCCAACTCCTGGAAAGAGTTTCAAGCTGGACTAGACAATGGTTGGCAACTCCCAACATTTTTTTTTCTAATTTTACCCTTGAACATCTTGTAGGCAGGACAAATTGTAGCTCAAAAGATTTCTGGCTTGGTTGGTATACCAATCCCTTCATTGGAAGTCTTGCCTGTTTACAGGAGATGGCTGGATCATGCCTCATCTATCCCATTACTAAAATAATGTTAGCTAAAGTCACTCTCATAATTTTTTTGGGCATTTCCATTGTTCTTTCTTTCTAAGTCGTCCCTGAGATTCCATCCATACCCATTCGTGTTGCCCCTCCCAGTATACTCTCCCTTCTTCCTCCTCACACTTGATCCTTCTTGTTCCTATCCACACACTACCCTACCCATCCCTACCTACACTACTTGCAGAGGAATTTAAGTTCGGTAACAAGGTTGTTCTATGAAGTGATAACATCCACACAACTTTAATCTGTGTGGCTGGAATGCAGACACACCCTTACTACACATTCTTGATCCCTTTGGCAGTCAAGCCTTTAGTATACAACTTTAATCACAAACAATGACATCTAATGGAGTGGCAGAAAAAAAATCAGTGAATTATTTGACAGAATGAGTAAGATATAGGATACTTCTGACTTACTTGTGAACAGACCAGAAAGGGAGGACAAAGAGCAGTGAGGGAGAGTTCAATTCATTTCCACAGATAGGAATTGGCAGCAGTTCAGTTCAGCTCAGTTCAGTTAAATTGAGAGCAGTTGAGTGCAGTTGAGCTCCATTCACTGTGAAGCATAGAAGATAAGTTCAGAACAGGATTGTTCCTAAGTTCAAAGGCTGTTTTTTAAAGCAGAACAATTCAGTCTGGCCAAGAAAAGCCAGTTTGTATCAGTTAGCTTTGAGAGGCATTTAAACCTGAACAGATGAGTTAAACCAGACAATAAGAATTCAATAAAAAGCCAGGCAGTGGTGGTGCACACCTTTAATCCCAGCCAGGCAGAGGCAGGCAGATTTCTGAGTTCAAGGCTAGCTTGGTCTACAAAGTGAGTTCCAGGACAGCCAGGGATACACAGAGAAACCCTGTCTCGAAAAAACAAAAAAGCTAGAAACAGTGAGTTTATTCAACAGGATGTTGCAGAGGCTGAAACATTCTAGGCCTATGTGAGTGGATGCAGGCTTGAAGCTGAAATCGTCAAGATCCAGGCTGGTAGAATATTAGATTGAATAAAGGTTAAATAGACGTTTTCTTGCCTAGGACTAAGGATAGTTAGAACAGAGAAGAAATGCCCTGGCTCAGCTCAAGCTATATATTTATACAGCTGGGATAGGGATCTCAACTCACTTTTTATGAGAAGAAAATAAATGTGACATTTACATTTATACTTCACCACCTATAATGTCTTTTCTCTTTCTCCATCAAAATGATATTTATGAAATCCCTTTGAGTGTTCTTGTTACTTAACTTTGTTTAGTCTGTGGATTGTAGCATACTTATTCTTTACTTTATGGCTAATATGGTTATTATCAACTTATAAGTGAGTAAATACTATCACTGTATCAGAAAATGCACAGTTTACTCAAAGTTTCCAGCTTCTTTTATTTATTTTATTTATTTTTAGTTTTATTTATTGGTTTTTTTGAGACAGGGTTTCTCTGTATAGCCCTGGCTGTCCTGGAACTCACTCTGTATACCAGGCTGGCCTCGAACTCAG